ACATATATAATATTTTAGTCATAACTAGTTATTTATAAGATTGTCTCATTTGGTGTATATATTTTTTAAACAATTTAATTCTTAAATTTTTAAATAATAAAAAATAATATTAAAAATTAATCATTTTATAAAGATCACATTTAAATTCAATACCTTTAAATTTGAAAATCAAACGTAATGTGAATTAATCTATTAAATATTAATAATTTTTAAATATTTTTATTAAATAAAATATAAAAGTTATACTAATTATATAATAATAACATTTGTGTGTATGTGCTGATATTGTATGTTCCCTATTATTGATGAACAAATATTTCCTTGATTAATTACTAGCTTTGTTATTTTTCATCTTTGGGATAGCAAGTTATTCATATATTTTGCTTTACTTTTTCTTCGTTGAAGTTTAAAAATGATGAGAATTTTTTTAATGTATCCCATGTTGCATTGAAGTGGCGGAAGGTGATCACCAAATGATTGACACTTTTGGTAACTATCAAATAAATGTAGAATCAACATCTTCACTCAGAGGTATATATGCATCCTATTCTTACTTAACGTATTCTTGTCTTCCACTTCACACTTGTACTTTCATTATTTAGGCGATACAACCTAATTTTTTATTTCAGTCAAAATTTTCATTATGAGTGTGGGTATGCGTCAGAGAAGAACTTTCATATGAAACTTTTTCCAATCATTACTTTGAGAAATATTTACTAACATACATTTTTACGCGCTTTTTTTAACACATTTTTTTACTTATATTTGAAACCATATATTGTGAATCTCACTTTGCATGTATTTAGTCATCTCACTTGAATTTTGTTTTTTTAATAAATTGTAACTAATAATAATATATTAAAGTATATAGTATTGTATGTATTTTTTCATCTTTGAGGTCTGCAGCCAAAAAAAGTTAATGGTATTATTATTACAATTATTATTTTATTTTACAATTTTTTCCTTGATTTTTGTTGAAGTTTAAAAATGATGATTATAATTTATTTATCTTATGTTGCATTGAAGCGACTCAATGGCCCGACGGAATGAATTTTGGTGGTTCAATTAACTATGAAAACAATGCACAATTAATAACTTTACCAGAAGGTACTTATTCTGAACACCAATTCTTTTTGTTATTGTCCTTCTTTATACACGTGTTTTTTTCTAATTTTTTTTGTTTGATATAACATATACAGTTTTGTTCAATAATCAGTTTTATTACTTGACACAATAAAGGTTTTGAACTTGAACATTACTCTGAATTTTAAAATAAGTACATTTTTATTATATTTGTTACGGTTGGCATGATATGAAAAAGTAAATTCATGAGATTGAGTATATATAAATTTTAATGAAGCAATGACAAAAACAATGCATAGAGGTTTTGTAGCAGGTGAGGGTGAAGTGAGTGGAAGCAGCGATGATTGCAAACGTGATTTAAATGAGTTGGTTTCCGATCTAACAAGAGAGGAAGAAGACATTAAGGGTCAATTACAATGGTTGGAGTCACGGGGCAAGAAGCCAAAGATTGAAGTTGACTATTGGTTGGATCAAGTACAAAACCTCAAAACAAGAGCTGATGATCATCATATGCAGCAGTTTGGATCGATGGACATACAAGATTTGATTGATGATATGGCAGGGCACATGGAAGAAAAGCCTCTGGTGGTGTCAAATGAATTTGTCGGTCTGAAATTTGAGAAAAATGTTGACGAGATGTGGAATCTTCTGGGGGATGATGAAGTTTTGATTATTGGCATACACGGAATGGGGGGAGTGGGGAAAACATTCCTAGCAACTTATATGGAGAATGAGATCAAAAGAAAGAAAAGTTTCAAGCATGTCTTCTGGGTCACTGTTTCCCATGATTTCACCATTCTCAAATTGCAACACCACATTGCGGAAACAATGGGGGTAAAGCTTTACGGAGATGATGAGAGAAGTAGAGCAACAATTTTGGCATCTGAATTGGAGAAAATAGAAAAATCAGTACTTATTTTGGATGATGTTTGGAAATATATTGATCTAGAGAAAGTCAGAATTCCTCTCAGAATGAATGGCATCAAATTGATTATCACAAGTCGTTTGAAACATGTGTGCCAACAGATGGATTGTTTGCAAGATCATATGATAACAGTGACTCCTTTAGATGCGATTGAGGAGGAACATATATGTTGGGAGTTATTTTTGTTAAAATTAGGACACCATGGAATACCTGCAACGCTTCCCCCTAAAGTAGAAGAGGTTGCAAGATCCGTTGTAAAAAAGTGCGATGGTTTACCAGTTGCAATCAGTGTGATGGCTAGAAGCATGAAGGAGCAAGATGACATTCATTGGTGGAAGCATGCATTGAATAAAGTTGAAAATTTTGAAATAAGAGAAGAGGTCAAAGCCGTACTAAAGCGTAGCTATGATAATTTAATTGACAAGGACTTGCAAAAATGCTTCTTATACTGTGCACTATTACCTAATCGTTTAGATTTTGGTGAAGGGGATTGGGTTAAAAGTCTTGTTGAGGGTGGAATGTTGAATGGAAAGAGGAGTTTGGGGGAAATGATTGATGAGGGGTATGTCATAATAGATAAACTCATAAACCATTCTTTGTTGTTGATTGATACTTGGGATTCTATATATATGCATGATCTGGTGAGGAACATGGCATGCGATATAATGAAAGACAAATACATGGTAAAAATTGATAAAAAATTGAAAAAGATACCTGACTTGGGGGAATGGAGAGATGATTTGGAGGCAGTTTCTTTGGCGTCGAACAAAATAGAAGAAATCCAAGAGGGTGCATCGCCTAAATGTCCACGCTTGTCCACCTTAATTTTATCTAAGAATCGCATCGCTCATATTTCGGACTCTTTTTTTACACGCATGAATGCTCTGGCAGTACTTGATCTATCAGATAATGAAGAATTAATATCATTACCGAATTCACTGTCAAACCTGAGGTCTCTTATTTCTTTAGTGCTTAGAAGATGTCGAAAATTAAAAAGTATACCTCCACTGGAGAAGCTACAAGCATTGTCAACATTGGTCATGGAAAATCTAGTAAATTTGAAATGGCTTGATTTGTCCCAGAATCGTTTAATACCATTACCAGTAGCAGAAGGTGTACTATCTCGTTTGACCAATATGCAATATTTGGATCTCAGCAGTTGTTCGATTAAAAAAGTAGAAGATGCAAAAGGGATGACTATGCTCGAATGTTTTCAAGGTGGCTTTCTGGACCGGGATAACCACAATCATTACGTCCAACAAATCTTTAACAACGGTTATGGACCTAAAACTTATCGTATTTATTTTGGAAAGTGCGACTACTACTGGTACCAAGAAGAAATTTTCCAAGAGTTTAATTTTCGAAGATTATTGTTTACAGACTGCCCAGAAAAACCCTATTTACTGCCGAGAGACCTTGTGGATTTGAATGTATATGACAATAAGCAATGGGAATACTTATGTGCTGCTTTGTCGTCTAAGGATCCTTCGTCTTTCAAAAAAATTTTCATTAAAGACTGCACAAAACTGAGGAGCTTGTTTTGTTTTAGTCCTTGTTCATCGTGTAAGTTTATCCAAACGGCCATTTGCAAGGAATATGTTGCTGATTTTCACATGCTTACTCCTCAGACTCGGACAGAGGTGTTCCGTCATGTCGTGCATTTTGAAATCTCAGAATGCCATAAAATAGAGACGTTGCTGACATTAGAGTTAGTGCCATCACTTGCAAAGTTGGTGACAATTCAAGTACGGGATTGTGATTCAATGAAGGAGATATTTGCAGCGAGTAACAGAGGTGATGGTAGTATTACACTCCCCAAGTTGACCACATTGAAATTGTATTATCTACCACAGTTGCATACAGTGTACGAAGGAGTTTTAGTCTGTGCATCTCTGGATGCACTCGACCAAGCTTATTGTCCCAATTTAAGGTTGCCTAAAATAAAACTCGTGTGATTCACTCTGCTAATTTGTTATTCCGCTTCTACTTTTACATTCATCATTATTATCATTATTGGTTTCAGCAAGAATGTATTTCCCTTTCGGATAAATAAATCTTGTCTTACAAATGGATGACTAATTCAATTTTATCATTCTTTCAAATCAAACATCATAAATAAAGATATTTAAATATTGCTATATTTAAAAAATAAAGTTTTATTCAGCCTTTTCAAAGATTAGTCCATCGTTCGTGTATTGAGGATACTTAAATTTGTGCTCTTCAACCATGTGCAAGTGGACCTTTTCTTATGTACTTTTTCTTACCCTGTTCTCAAGGACTTCACCTCTCCAGTTAATAAAATCAATATCATCAGCCTAGTCGTTTCTTCTTATACCTTTGCTTTTTCTTATAACACTCTTCGTTACATAGCACAATCTAATTTTTAATAATAAACATTAAATTCTCATATTTTACCTCTTTCCATATATGACCACTTTTTAAAACAAAACATTAGGTGTTGATATTCAACTAGTTTGCCACTTTGTTGTAAAAAACCTTTTTGATAGCAAACTCAAGTTATCTACTAGAGAACATTCAATATTAAAAAAATAATTTCCTTTGATACCTTTAACCAGTTGCCTAAAATTTTATGCAAAAAATTTAAAAAAAAAAAAAAAAAAAAAAAAAAAAAAGACTGACCATTAGAGTCTAATTTGTTCAAGGGTCCAAAACTACAAATCACACATCAAGCTAGTATAATTCAAATATTTCACACAAAACAAATTACACCTTGCTCGTTACCATTTAAGACTAGAGCGAACAGTGTAAGCGTGTTGTCAATTTCAATTTTTGGAGATTTAACCTTTGCACCAATGATCATTTGCTTAGCAATAATATGTTTCCCTCCCTTGGTTCAAAGAACACTGTACTCTAAAATAAAATGTTACTATTACTGATTTTACTGAATTATACAGAGTATAGATGTTGTCCTTTTCCCAAGCCTGTGATTTTCCATAAGATGAATATTTTTCTTAGGAATCAACATCATATTTGTTGAAAAAATATCCTTTAATCAATTCATATACTTATATCTATAGTACAACCAGATGACTGAATAATACTATAGAATGGATGGGAAAACCTTACACATAAATTAGCCTCCATCGATCATGTGTGGGATTGTTATACTCAATTATGAAAAAAGAAAATTGTGAAATTATATTAATATATGTCTATGCATGAAGGTAGACATAAAGAAAAGAGTATTTTCCTTGAGGTAATCCATGATAAAAAGTGAAGAAACTGTTTCTTTTAACATGAATACTTGCATTTTATTTTCGACATTAGACCAATAAAAAGTACTTTTATATCCAAAGTACTTGGATTACCTAACCTTTTTTTAATCAATGTAAGTCGCATTATTGTGTAATCTGCACCAATTTTGAATTAATCTAAAAAAAGAATTAAAATAGATGTTCAAGTAACCATTGTTTGTAATACATCATTCTAATGAATCAGCACAAAAGAGAGTTTTGACAAGCTTAAATTCACCAAATAATTAGTTGCTATGGATTTTAAAAACAGATTTGTGTTATTTTTTGAATAACCTTAATCTAGTCTAAATTTATGCATTTAATAATTTAAAAATAATTATATTTCAATAAAATAGCTTAATAAATTATGTTATCTCACATAATATTTTATCAATTTTAATATTATTTATATATTGTAAAATATATATTTTTTAGTTGTGCATTCTAATTTTACAATTTAACTACATATAATATTATAATTTAAATTAATATATATTATACTTACAAGTCAAATTCATCCAATCATCTCATAATTCAGGTTTTTTTTTATTAGATTCACAAAATTACTCCTGTCCAGCTTTCAAATTAAGTAAGGACATTAATAAATCCCTTTCAACTCATCCCCAAGCACTCCTTAGTCCTTATATATTTTTTTAAAAATAATCCAACTTTCAAATTAAGTAAGAACATTAGTAAATCCCTTCCAACCCATTCCCTAAACACTCTTTAGTTCTTATATATTTTTAAAACAATTACTTGTGTGTTCAGTTAAAATTATTCCAAAGTCTTTAACTCAATTAGTTCAACACTTTTGCTTCTAAATCAAGAACTAAGGTTCAATTTCAACCTTGAGTATAGAGCTGCGACTCAGAAATATCACTTTACCCCTATAGAGATCAATTCAATAGAAAAGAATTATTAAAAATAAATAAATAAATAGAACTTGCCTGACTCACGAACCCAAATACACTCCCGTAACTCACAATGGGGATACAAAAGCACCCTCATTAAATTCAAACAATCACATTTAGCAGATGAGATACAAACATTTGGATACAATCAATTTCCAAGGGGAGGTAGCTAAAATCCAATATCTAAACTTTAGCTACACTATCGAATGCCTAAACTATCAACAAAATACCAGAGGTTCCATTCAAATATCCATGAAAACCGTACATGAAGAATAAAACCCTAGAGAAATTCAATCACCTCTAAGTACTACCCCTCGTGGTTATAATTTAGAGATCTACTCTCAATTGTTAATAGAAGATAACTTCTGACATCATCCCTAAAGTTGATGAGGTCAAGACACAAGCTTCATTTTCAAGAAGCTGGAGTTATGTTGTAAAAAAATTCCAAAGCTTCTTCCCTATTGAAGCTTCACCAGGTTGTTGGTACTCATCATCGTCCTCATTGTCAACACCAGCAGCATCTCCCCCATGGGATTCACTCCTATACTCAGCATCATTCTCCTCCACATCGTCTGCTGTTCCATTCACCTCCTCACTCATGGCCATATTATTGCCAAAGGTCCCTGCAGTATCACCACCATAACCATCCCTCGTATCCACACCTTTCAGAGACTGAAACAAACAATAACAAGCAATTTAACATTAGCTTGATACCCCTCGCCAGGAGGGAAGAAAATATTAAACTGAAATCCCAAACTCAAGATCCAGATCCCACTATCAAAATCTCAAATTTCAATAGATCCATGATATATGTATTTACTGAACATATAAGGTGAGAACTCTTGATTATCAAGAAAAATGAGAACTATAAATCTGAATCGTACAATCATACATTGACATTGATGGTCAAGATTATAAGTTAGTGATCATGTGACCACTTTAAAAGATCATGTGCTTTTATCTGTTAATAATCAGGACTATTCAAAAATGATTTAATGGTTTACACCTATAGTTCTCTTTTCAGTTTTCACAATAACAACAGTTTTCATTTAATACATTTCATATATAGGGTGAGAGAGAGAGAGAGAGAGGTTTAAGTGGCAAGGAATAGAACTTGGAACTATCTGCATGATTAAAAGACTACACCAAGCTTACCTGCTCAAGATGTATGCTTCCACCATTCTCATTAGTAATACCCACTGAATGTGAATGAGAAGCTTTTGCGTCAACAATTCCTTCTTCTGTATCTTTTACACGATCAACCTCTCCCTGACTTTCTTTGCCACCACCAGACATAGCTCTAACAGATGATGTTGCTCCACTACAAAAATTCAGTGGGCATCCATGAGTAAGTGGGCAAAAAAGCAAATAAACATTTGACAACTATCACATTCATAAATAAAACGGAAATTATGGCACTAAATCAGAGTACTCACGTTTTGGGTCGTCTCAGATTATATCTTGTTTCACCAGCAGTTTGTGGAGGGGCAGCAGCAGCCTTCTGCCGCCTCCTTTTGCGCTGCTCTGGTATTAGACTATCAGAATGTCCTTCACTGGCATTGTCATCATGCCCACTTACAGTCATTTGAGATGTTTGAACCCGGTTACGCTTCCTGACATTCACAGGTATTCTCCTATTGGATGGTTTCTGACTTTCAGAATTCACATTGGCAGAATCCTCAGCATTTCCATTTGGAAACTCAGTCTCATGATCATCCACAGATTCCCCAGGTAATGCTTCAGCAGCTTCCCCAAGTATACCCCTAGCCTCTCTGAGAACGGCTTTCACAGTGTGGGTACGTTTTACTCTGGTTCTTCCCCCTCCCTTGCGAGGTTTCTGCTTCCCAGCCTTTGAATCAGGAGGTTGTATATCTTCGGGTGCCTTACTGTCAACATTGCTCTGGTTTTCAACTGATGGATCTTGGTCAGCTTCAACCTCTGTCATATCGTTGCCAGATTGTACCCTACCAGATTGTACCCTACGTGCATCAAAAGAATCATTTACAACAGCAATTGACAACTCTGCCTCATTTTCAGTGCCAGGAATTCTTCCTGGTGAATCTTCCACATTAGTTTTCTCAGCAGAAGAAATCACAACATCTCTTAAAGTACCAGCATCTTCAGATTCAATCTTTCTAATCGGGGAAATTTTTAAAATCTTAGATGTGCATTTACGTAGCCAAGAGATAGTGCCACCAGAAACAGGTGACTTTGAATCAAATGCAGGAGACACTCCAGTATTTTGCCTTGTAGAAGCTAAATTTTCATCAGAATCTCCCCGTATAATATCACCTGCTAATTTTGGAAGAGAAGGCACCTCTAAGTTCTCAACGTCAACAGAGGATTGTAAATCAGACAGCACAAATTCAGAGATCATTTCCCCACAGTTCTGGCAACTCCGAAGTTTCTCAACAAACTCAACAAAGCGTCGTCTCTCCACAATAAATTGCTCCCGCTGATTTTTTAGCCTCTTGTTGAGGTCAACAAGTACATCTATGTCCTCTTGCATTTCAATCCTTTGCTTTTCAAGATGTTTTTTATTCTCATCAGCTTCTTGTTTCTCCTTCTCTAATTTACTTCTTTGAAGTTTCATTTCATCCATTTCTCTATTAGCTACTTCTCTTAAGAAGTTAATGTTGCTTAATTCACTCTCTCTTTTTTCCTCGAATAACTTCTTACTCTCAATCAAGTTTTTTTCCTTCTGCTCTAACTGATTCTGTATATCAGCTTCAAGTTCCTTTTTTTGCAGCTCAAAATCCAGAAGCATTTGATTTCTCTCACTCTGAGCTTTTTCAGCTAGGCTTGACTTCTCAAACTCCATTTCTGCAGCAAATGACTCTTTAGCCAACTTAAGAGTTTCTAATTCCCTTTGCACGTAGTCCTGTGTGGCCTGCTTCTCATTCTTTAACTTTTCCTCTTCAAATTGTTGTAGTTTTAATATTTCTTCCTTTTGCTGAATCACACTTTTCAGCTCTTTCTCAACATCTGCTCTTTTCAGATCCAGCTCATCCCATTCTCTTTCAAAAGTCTCTTTCTGTTGCCTTAAGTCTTCAGCTTCCTTCAGAAGTAGCTCTTTCTGGTGTCTGTACTGATCAGCTTCATGCTTCAATTGTGACTGCAAACGTAGATATTCAGACCTCTCCTCCTCAGTCACTTTAAGACAATTAGTCTCTTCGTTTATCCTCAACAACTCTTCTTCATTGTTGGCTCTAATTTTCTCAACTTCAGCCTTAAGTGTGAGCAATTCCTCTCTCTCACTTTCTATTTTCTCTTTCTCAGTCACCAAGCTTTTTTCTTCAGATTTAATAGACTTCTCCCTTTCCTTCAAAGCTTTGACTTTTAGTTCATACTCTTTCTCTTTCTCTTTAAGCTTCTCTGTTTTCTTTTCCAAGGCTTGTTCCCGTTTTGCAAATTTCTCCTCCATGTGATTGATTTCAGCTTCTTTCTTTTCCACTTCCACCAATTTATTCTTCAATCCATCCTCAAAGGATTTTCTTTTCTCATCCAATTCCACATCAAACTCCTGTTTCTTCGCATCAAGAATAGCATTGTGTTCATCAAGAAGATTCTGCATCTCAACCTGCATAGAGTCCATGCTGTATTCAGCAGAAGAAAGAAAATGGAAAAGAGTATGCTCACAACACATTGATTTTATGATCAGACTGACAATTTAATACAAATATTCCAATTACCAGATTATTCAAATGCATACACTAAATCACTGCAAACTATTGAATAACCAAAAGTTGCAAAACAGTAATGGAAAAAATAAATCAACAAAACTCAGCAACTTACATTGGATCAATCGTTGGCTACCATAATTACCAAGAATAAATAATAAGGAAATGAATAGGAACCATAACATACTTTTTCTCTAGCATCAAGTTTTTCCTCCCATGCAGATAACTTCTTCTCTTTGAGATCCAAGTTTATTCTCACGGAATCAAATTCCTGAATTTGAGGATATGGAGCAATTATTACATGACACCAGAATAAATAAAAATAAAGATATACAATATCTATCACACAAACAAATATTTACCTTCTCTTTAAGAGTTAAATCCGCAAGCCTATTGTTCACATCATCTTCTTTATTTTGCAGTGTTATATTAGTTGCATCAATCTTCTTCTGTGTCTCTTCAAGGTCCTTCTCTTTTTGCCTGCACATTCTGTCATTCTCATTAGCCCTTTGCTCTCTTTCGTTGAGAATTCTTTGACCCTTGGCCAGCCTCTCTTCTCCCTCCTGTAGTTTCTTCTCCCATTCCCGCAAGTCCTCTCTCTGTTTAGACAATGTACTCTCATGTGCTTCTTGTCTGTCACAGATCAAAATAAATTAGCCAAAATAAATAATTAAATTAAAAAGATAACAGAAAAAACGAATTAATTAAAAAGAGAGAACAATAATGAGTACTCTGCAATCAAGGATAAACGATCCCTTCGAAGTGCAGATTCTTGAGCCTCCAGGTCTTGTGATTTCCTATCAAACTCAGAACTCTTTCTGCTGATTTCTGCAAATTTGGCATCAGCAGAACGTAATTTGGCTTCTACTTCTAAAGATTTCTCTTCAATGCTAACTACTAAAGCATTTGCTTCAGCCAACTTTGAGTCTGCTGTAAATTTGATTTTGGCATGTTCTGACCGCATTTCTCGCAGAGCCTTCTCAAGCTGTTGACGCATAAATTTTCAAATGCAAGTACGAAATAACCATATTTCATACATGAGTCATGCCTTTTTTATTAAAGAATTTAATTCATATGTAAACATATAGGTCACTCTTTCTCAACACCCAAGGCCTTCCTCAGATTCTCTTCTCGCTTCTCTGCCTCAGATAGAGCAATTAAATGAGCAGCTTTTTCTCGCTCTAGAGCATCCTTCACTTCTACTAAATCTTGACTTAGTTCAGTATACTTAGAATTCCACTCTTTTTTCTCAATCAAGAGAAGTCCCATATTGAATTGGTACTCATAAAGCTGGCCAAAAATAACTCATAATCAGGTCCGACCACAAAATATAATTGGGGGAAAAAATAAAACTTAAAGTTGCACAGGACCATAGGCACACATGCTTATCAAGTGCCCCACTGTGCTTAATTGTTGATAAAAAGCACAAATATGAATGACAAGGAAGATAAGTAGTAGCATATGTTTTCCCTTATTCACTAAGCTCCCATTTTAAATATTTCATTTTCATGCTAAAATCCCTTTTAACATCACATAATCATCCTAAAGCCAATCAGTATTTATCCCAGTACAAAATCTAGAGAAATGGACAACCCTGGGTGAATGAAAATGAAAGAATAACACCTGGAGCCACCAAAATTGGGAGATAATTTCTTTTTTTTAAAAAAAAAAATGCACTGCTTCAAACAGCCTATAAAGTAAAACTATGATATACCAAACATAGAAGTCTAAAACTAGTTTTAATGATAGTACAACTTAAACAATGCATATAACATTGCTTCTCAACTTTAAACTTAAAGTAGAATAAAATTTGAAGACTGAAATGCGTCTCTTTTCTATTTACTTTTACAGGCATATTCACACAAACAAACATGAAACATCTTACTTCTCAACGATTAGAATCTCCAGATACTCAATATCAATAATATTGTTAGTTAGAATAATGCTAACCATTCCCTTCCTTATTTGACCAAGCAAAAAAATTTATGTCAGCAACAAAGAAGGATAATTAAGGATACAAAAATGAAGATAAGACAGCCAAGAACCCAAAAAAAAACAAAAAAAAAGTATATATATATATATATATATATATATAATGAAATTAACACTCGAGAGAAGTCAAATGAAACATTTCAATTTCACTCCAAATTAATGTGAATTTGAAATTTAACTTTTGAAAATTCTAGCACTCCCCTCAATCTAAAAAAAAAAAAACAGATCCAAAGAGAACATTTCACATTTACCATTACCGCCTACCTCTAATTTCAACCCCTAAACAGTTTAACCAAAACGATTGAACATATCCAACAACAGTTTAACCAAAACGATTGAACATATCCAACGGTGAACCTTTAACCAAAACTGACTTTCCATCTTTCCTTCAACAATTTCACAATTGCCAAACAGTTTCATAAACAAGGGAGAAGAAGACGAAATGAAATGAAAAGCGGGAGAGGCTTAAGAACTAAATTAACCCAAAAATAAAAATTAAGAATTAAAGCCCCAACAAAACTATCTTCCCAACATCATTCTGCAAAACAAAGGCTACCACCCCAGTATCAAGATTCAAGTTCCAGTACCCAAACCAAGTAAACAAAAAATCCAAATTCAACAAAGGACCAAGCCAGAACTTATCTCAAAAGTTTTTTTTTTTTTTAGTAAAAACACTCGCGTAGCAATAGTTCAACTTCCATCGTAATAACTATACACTCAAGAAATTAAAATCAAAACCAAAAATATAAATCCTCAAGACACACCTACCTCAAAGTTTCACAGAAAAACGACAACGAATCGCTCAAAATTAAAACAAATTAATAAACTAACTAACCTCATTCTCGAGGCTTGAAACTCTCTCAATCAAAACCTCGCGATCCAAGTTGCCTCCATTCTCAACAACGGCGACACCTTTCCCCTCCGCTCCATCTCCCGAATTTGGACCCGAATCCGAACCCGACCCGGTTACGCCCCGAGCCCCGCTCTTGTTCGGCGTCAGGGACCAACCCGGCCACACTCTCTGCGGCGTAAACATCGCCACCACAGTCGAATCCCGCGCTCCTCAGAAACCCGAACCTTCGAATTGGACCTCAACCTCACGCCACCATCGCGAACTAAAAATTCGAAAGCGAAATCGAAGAAAGAGGAACGAAAGCCTAACAAAGGAAGGCTCCGGACGCGACCGCGGTTCCCAAATTGCGGCGAATTGTGGATTTGAAGTCCGATAACGTCTCCAAAATTCTCAAACGGTTCTTTCTCTCTCTCTACTTCTTTCACTTTCTCTCTCTTCTTTATGCTTTTTGAGCGGATCGCTCACGTTCCTTGTTTTTATTTTATTGGTTTAATGTCTGGACCGTTAGTAAAGTATGAAATTACCCTTGGCTTTGTCAATGTCGCGCCTCATTGTGAAGGGTAATATGGGGATTCGAGTGGTGGCTTTTTGGTTTGAAACGTGGGTTCGCGTGTACTTTTCTCGTCGTGACGGTATTGCCCATGGTTGGTAGAGTGAGGAGTGCTCAGAAGAGAAGTATCTATACATTTCTTAACCTATTATTTATTAATTGTTAAAAATTATTGTAAATTATTAAATCATGAGCCAAACTATTAAATAAATGGAATCTATAAAAGTTTAAATTTTAATAAATTTTTTATTAATAGTAAAGAATGTATTCCTTAATTAGTGTATGCTAATTGTCGTACCAGGAATATACTCATTCAATTTTTTATATAACAAACAAATTAAGTAAATGATAAAAGTAATTAAGTTAATTTTTCAGATAGATAAATTCATCCATTATATAACAAATGAATTGATATCTCATTGATATATAAACAGTGAGTAATTAATATTTTCCTTGACATATAATAAGTATTAGTATAAAAAGAAAAAAAAAAGCTTAAAAATACTTTTTAAATGTAATATTTTAAAAAATATGATATTAATTAATCTTTTAAAATAATACTGTTAATAACATTTTACTAAAATTCTTGTTTGCATTATTTTTAGAGATGAAGATCAATAATAAAATTAATTTTGTAAAAATATTATTATCTTTTATCTATTTATTAATATTTTCTATATATAAAAATATTTAAAACTATATTTATTATAAGATAAAAGGAATAAAATTTAAAATGAATCTATATTTTTGATACTAAATAGGATTAAAATAAAATATCCATATATCTCTTATATAAAAGACAAACAAAATATTTTTACATATTATTTATTATTAATCAATAAGTCGAAATTAAAAAATTTCTGTTAACTTAAATAATTTATCACTTACGTTTCATAATTAGAATTTAATCTTCCCTTGAGTATAAAATTGTAATTGGAGATACACTTTATTTTTATGAAAATTGATTTGGTGAGAAGAAATTATATCTTCTTATAAAAGAAATTATAAGTGACACTTATTAATAAAAAAATATAACTAATTAAAATGTGTGAATTTATAATAAATTTTAGATAATAAATTAAAAATAAATAAAAGAGTGTGGTATTTATCCTTGAAAAATATAGAAGGAATTGGGGGTGTTTTGGTAAAATGGATGGTTATTGAGTTAAAGAGAATATGCTGTTTGGAGTGGAATTGGGAATGCCACGGTGGGCTAGAGCTGTTAAGTTGGAAAAGAGAGTTGGCCAATTGGGGTTTAGAGATAAGCATGCCTTTGTCGCATTTCACTTAATCATTGTGCTCACTCAACAACATCTCTTCTTCCATTCTTCAACTATCTTAAAAAAAACTTTACCAACATAAAACCATGTCTCTTTTCTGTCGTTTGCTTGTTTCTAAAACATGGGAATTAAAGAAGAGGGACTTTGGGAAATGGAAACCATTGAGCTAATGCACCACAAATGAAAGAGGATGTGTGACTTTACTATTTGATGGATAATTATGAACGTAATTACTATCATATCCTCAATCCACCAAAAAGGTTAGGAGGAAGGTGACCAATGAGCATGTCAACTGAAACACTTACTAGGAAGCCACCCTTTGTCTTTTGGGAACGGTTTCTTGTTGAATGAGTATGGAATACTTCACATGCAACTAGAAACTACCATGGAAAACCTTACACATTGCCTCAACATGAATTTTTTACTGGAATAATATTTTTTTTTTTTAAAATTACAAGAATGATCATTGTGCAGGATTATTTACCAAGATAGAATCATTTACTGTTCAAGCTCAGAATTCGGTTCCGGGGAAACCGAATTCTGAGCATCAAAATGTAATTTTTTTTGTTTTTTCAACTCAGAATTCGGTTCCCGAGGAACCGAATTCTGAGTTGGTTTTAATTTTTTTTTTTTTTCGTGTATGGGGCAAATGTGGGCTGATCTGGGAAGCGGAACGGCCCGTTCCAAAAGCAGAACGGGCCGTTCTGCTTAAAGAAACAGAGTGCAAATTCTTTAAGCAGAACGGGCCGTTCGGCCCGTTCTGCTTTTGGAACGGGCCGTTTCGCTTCCCAGATCAGCCCACATTTGCCCCCATACACGAAAAAAAAAAAAAAATTTAAAACCAACTCAGAATTCGGTTCCCCGGGAACCGAATTCTGAGTTGAAAAAACAAAAAAAATTACATTTTGATGCTCAGAATTCAGTTCCCGGACAGTAAATGGTTCTATCTTGGTAAATAATCTTGCACAGTGATCATTCTTGTAATTTTTTTTAAAAAAAATATTATTTCAGAAAAAAATTCGCCTCAACATATCTCTTTCTTTTTATATTTTATTACACTCATTCTTTTCTTTTATATCATCATATATTCTTACTCTTACATTTTTTATACTTTTTTTTTCTCATTCTGTATCTTTTTTCTATGTAATCATTTTACATCATTTGAAATGTCATTATTCTAAAATGAATACGTTCGTCTTCGTGGCTTTTTATTGAAACAACGTTGTAAAGCAATTACGTCATGATTTAAGTTGTCTTCGTTTCAAGGATTAACTAATAATTATGAGTTCTGTCATCAAAACGAAATAAAACTAATAGTGATGTTGTTCCTGTATTAGGATACACACTTCAATTATTCTTGTTGTAGCGGGTCTGATTCTGGGTCTCGGTCTTCTCGTTCCTATCCAGGTAGTCCGAAGTGAGGGGGGGTGTGCCTGCAAAGACACTCCAACGCTCAAGTAAGTGTTCGGCGTAATAAATGCAGTAGTTTAAAATTAGTTATGTACCTCGCTGGGGTCCTATTTATAGTGATTCTTATTGGGCCGCGATTAAGGACTGGGCCCCGGGAAATTAGGGGGCTAATCCGGTGCATTACATAAATTAACCTCTCCATAATTATCCTGGCGTAAATCTGTGACTTGGCCGAGCACACCGACACGTTTCGTTCAGATTGTGAGTGGTCGGTGGGCTCGGGTATTCAACCTGGTCGTCCACGGACTCGGGTATTCGGTCTAGTCAGCCACGTACTCGAGTATTCGGCCTAGTCGGCCACCATACGGTATACAACCCCCGCAGCGTCAAGGATGCGAAAGACGAAGACAGTTTAATTGTATAGGGTTGTGGTTCTCGGCGTGGAATGGCAGATGTTGCTTCCGACCGCTAGTAGTAGTGTGCATGTTCCCAATGTAGTCGGGGTGTGGAGCTTTTGCTATCCCAGCGGTCGTGGCCGGTTCGAATTTCCTCGTGCCAAACGTCCAGACCGAGAACTTGGTCGATCTGGACCTCACTTTCGGCGGCGGGCATCAGTATTTGGAGGGCATGTCCTCGGAGGCCGAGTACAAGCTCTTCTGTGAGCTTGATGCTCGGACCTCCCTAATTGCTAAGCATGTTATGATTAGGGGTGGGTATGCAGACCGGTCCAGCCCGTTTAAGGCCCGGTCCGTGAAGTCCGCATTTTTAACGGGCCGGATAAATCCGGTCCGCGAAATAAATGGACTTAAATCTTCAAGTCCGTATCCGGCCCGTGAAGCCCGCGGATAAACGGAGAAATACGCGGGCCGAATTAAATCTAAATTGTTTAAATGAATATTGACTCAGATTTTAAATTTCTTTTCCTTTATTTTACCTATGAAAACATGAGGAAAAAAAACATATAAAATGATATAAATATACTTCTAATAATAACATCAAACATTGTAAATAATAAATCAAAGTCTTAAATACGCGGTGTATTTGATCGCGAGAGTGCTTGGTTTGAAAGTGTTCGGTCGAAGTGTGCTCGGCCTCGGCGCGTGGCGTAGTGCTCGGCCTAGGTACATCCTTAGCCGAGGAGGGTACTCGGGAGGGAAACCTGTAGGGCTCGAGTGCACATTTGAGTGGTCGTCCGAGGATTGCTTGGTGTCGGCGTTTGTGCGTAATGCTCGGCCTAGGTACATCCTTAGCCGAGGAGGGTACTCAGGAGGGAAACCTGTCAGGCTCGAGCGCACTTTTTGAGTGGTCGGCCAAGAATTGCTTAGCATCGGCATATGTGCGTAATGCTCGGCCTAGGTACATCCTTAGCCAAAGAGGGTACTAGGGAGGGAAACATGTTAGGCTCGAGCGCACTTTTTGAGTGGTCGGCCAAGAATTGCTTAGCATCGGCATATGTGCGTAATGCTCAGCCTTGGTACATCCTTAGCCAAGGAGGGTACTCGGGAGGGAAACCTGTCAGGCTCGAGCGCACTTTGAGTGGTCGGCCGAGGATTGCTTGGCGTCGACATATGTGTGTAATGCTCGGCCTAGGTACATCCTTAGCCGAGGAGGGTACTCGGGAGGGAAACCTGTAGGGCTCGAGTGCACACTTTGAGTGGTCGGCCGAGGATTGCTTGGAGTCAGCGTATGTGCGTAACGCTCGGCCTAGGTACATCCTTAGCCGAGGAGCGTACTCGGGAGGGAAACCTGTCAGGCTCGAGCGCACTTTGAGTGGTCGGTCGAGGATTGCTTGGCGTCGGCGTATGTGCGTAATGCTCGGCCTAGGTACATCCTTAGTCGAGGAGGGTACTCGGGAGGGAAACCTATCAGGCTCGAGCGCACTTTTTGAGTGGTCGGCCGAGGATTGCTTGGCGTCGGCGTATGTGCGTAATGCTCGGCCTAGGTACATCCTTAGCCAAGGAAGGTACTCGGGAGGGAAACCTGTCAGGCTCGAGCGCACATTTTGAGTGATCGACCGAGGATTGCTCGGCGTCGGCGTGTGCATTATTCAAGATTGGACATTGTGTAACGTGGTCCTCTCGGGGGACGAGCATTTGAGGGGCTGGGCATTCGCCTTTCTCATCGGGTCTCGACTCGGTTCTTTTCGTCCATATCCCTCCTCGACTCTGGCTTGATTTCTAGTCTCTGCCAATTCTTCCATTTGCATGTACTTCTCGGCT